CCAGATATATTTGTTCAAGTTTCTTGTCTAGCTCTACAATCTGCCTAGATCTCTGGGATTCTTCTCAAGGTAAAAATCAAAACAAAAAGAGTGCAATGAGCACAAAACTTGTGCTAGACATGATGTGCAGCCTAGACCTCCTTCAAGGAATGGGTTGATGCTCAGCTGCAAAGATTGCTTGCATGAGATCATGCCCTTCCCAAAGCAACCCATATACAAAAACTGAGGGTGAAGAGGACCCAAGGGCCCAGCTAGTTTGGCCTGATGGGGGGCAAATCTGATCTTACTCCAGAGACTTGCACCAAGATTTTGTCAAGCTAGCTTTTTGGGAAAAAATGTGATTCCTGCCAAAATCTAGGTTGGCCAAGATTTTGTCAAGCTAGCTTTTTGGAAAAAAATGTGATTCAATTCATTGCATCACAACCCACTAGTAAATTTTTCTCACCTCAAAATATAAAGAGCTAAAGTGATCTCCATTCCCACAATTTCTTCTCTGTTCATCCTGTGTTATCCTCTTCCAATGAATCCAGCTGAACCTAACCTTCCATTGGTTTGCTGAAAGCTTGAGAAGAACATCCACTGGCATGTCATCTATGGAATTATGCAGGCCACTTCTGCACTGCTCCTTCTCCTCTTCTGACCCCCTTACCTTCTGATTTCCTTATTTGGCATATGGGCACAGGGGTGTAGCTGCATTGCCAATTAAGGCAAGGGACTGGGACGATTAAATCTGGGTTATGTCATTTACCTTGAATAACTAGTGGTTAAGTGGTGTCCCTAAACTCAAGAGATTTAACAACAAGGGGAAGAAGTTTGAGAATATGACACCCTCATCTCCCTTCCTGCAGGATGTTTTCAGGAACTTGGCTCTTAGAGTTATTGGTAGAGATAGTCGTGGGAGAGGGGGTCACTCTGTTTATGAAACAATTAGATATAAATAGCTTCTTGGTGGTGGTTCCCTGGCTAGTCTTAATAGAACCTTAATAAGATGGTTTTCTATCTATTCATTTGGAAAATGCTACCCCAACATTAGTAGAGCTTCGGGATGGCTCAGACAGAGAACTAGGTGACATATCAGGAAGCAGACATGCTATCTTTCCTCTTTCTCAAGTTGGTGTTCTTCCCTCATGCCTCCCTCTGCTGCCAACCACATATGAGATGTCTTCCTGGCTACCCATGCTCTGTGGCATGCCTGTGATAGACACACAGATGACTACATTCCCAAGCTCTCTTGAAATAGGCAGGCTATGTGACTGATATTCTGGCTAATGAAATGTTAGAGGAAATAATGTTTTAAAAGCCCCTACATGATTCTCTAGTTTCTCTTTTCCCTTGTTACAGCAATTGTTGACATTCCAGGTGGTGGAGTCTTCACCAGCCTGGGTCCCTGAGTGAATAAATGGAGCAGAGCCCTCCCTCCATCCACATTTCCCACAGACTCAAGAGACTCTGTAAAAACAGGGATAAACCTTTCTATGCTAAGCCACCAAAATGTGGTAATTGTTAGTATAGCATAAGCCTAACCTATCCTGACTACAATGCTTTTGCAATTAAATAACATGTTCAAGTACTTTTAAGTTTTTTTTGTCTCTACTGGATTACATGATAGTTAAAACAAAAATTTCCAGCTCTAAGACCTCTAAACACACTGTTCACTGAGTCCCTTGAATGATAGCCTAATTTCAGTAGCCTACGTCCACTTTGCAGGATGCAATTTCTGTAACTTGCCTTTTGTACCCTGCAACCTACATGTATACTTTGAGATAAGTGACATCAGACATACTCACTGCCTAGGTCAAAAGGAATATAACCACGCTGCAGTCAGAAAAAGACATGATGGAGATGCCACAATTCCAATCAACCTCCAAACAAGGCTTCCAAGGACAGCATGTTGTAAGATCACCATGGTGTAGGCTGGACTTCATCACTGGGAGACCAGAAATTATTTTCCCTGGACTCTAAGCAGGTTTTCAGGGACTAACTTATACTAACCAGACTCATGTACCAAAAGACCAATATATAAACCAGACATCATTTTATTTTTTTACAATGGGAATTGATTTTTTCCAGTTACATGAATATTCATGAGCATAATCCAGGATGGTTCTTCTCTACAAGAGCAAACCAAGGCAAACAGAACACACAAAGGAAGACTGACAGATGGATATTAGGAGGTTGACCATCTTGGGGGTCATTCTATTCAGACCACCAAAGTGGGTCTTAATGAATCATTGAAAAGTTTGAATTCTCTCTCTTCTTCTCTCTCTCTCTCTCTCTCACACACACACACACACACATTCATGTGATATTGGATAAATACTAACAAATTCTTACTTTCAAGTTCCTGAATTTTCCTCAAACAAGGTTTGACAAAACTGACTGGATGTTAGTTGTCTTTGGGCCAATAATTTCTCAATCTTGAATGGCTCAGCCAGCCACTTAGAGGAAATATTTTCACCATTTCAATAAGTGGCTGATTTCACCTATTGCACTTATATTTGTTCTAATTTAGGGAGTGCCTGTCAGTCTCAAATATCAAACAATCAGAATCGAGTCTTGGGTCTCAACAGCAGAAATACCTTTATGAATCTGCATCATGGGTTGGAAAACTACAGCCTGGGAGCCAAACCCGGTCTGCCACCTGTTTTTGTAGATCACATTTTATTGGAATACAGCCATGCCCGTTAAATTACATATTGTCTACAGCTGCTTTCACATTCCATCAGAGGAGGTGAGTAGTAGTGACAGAGCCTAAACTATTTACTATCTGATTTTCTCTACAAAATATATGTTTGTTGACCCATGATGTAGACAGTGGTTTTGTCATCTTCCAACCAAATAATTTCTCTTACCAATGGCTATGGCCCATAAGTTATAGTCAGATGTACCCTCCAGGTGAAGGGCAGAAAATACCCATATATGGAAATTCCATGCTCATCCGTACTGGTGGTCTTATAGTTCTTATGGTTTTCAATGACTTGGAAAAATCCATTTCCATAGTGAAACTGCTGTAGATTATACTGCAGAGATCAACACTGAATAAAGACCCTCAGCCTGGCAGAAAGTTATCAAAGTCTTAGACCCTCCAAGAAAAATCGATCAGTACTTCCTATAAATTATTCAACTCATCGGGCTTCAGTTTTTTCATCTGTAAAATCAAGTAGCTCAGCCTCCATGATGGGTTGTTGTAAAGATCCAATGAGAGAAAACAGGAAAATATGTTGTAAGGTCATATGTTGCAAGGTCTTTTGTAAATATGAGAGGGAGTACAGTAGCTTTAGAAATCACTGCATTGGGGCACCTGAGTGGCTCAGTCAGTTGAGTGTCTGACTCTTGGTTTCGGTTCAGGTCATGATCTCAGGGTCCTGGGATTGAGCCCCAAGTCGGGCTCCACACTCAGCACAGAGGTCAGCTTGTCCCTCTCCCTCTGCTCCTCCCCCTGCTCTCTCTCTCTCTCCCTCTTCTCTCTCTCTCGTAAATAAATAAAATCTTCAAGAAAAAAAAGAAATCACTCCATCACACTGTTTCATATCTGGCAAAGGTTCAACACAATATGGGGTCTCTTAGTTGATACCAGCAAAATAGTTGCCTTGGATCACTTGCTGTCCCCAAATTTCTGCAGTTGTTATCTAAAGGCCTTGGCACCAAACACCCTGGATGCTCCCCTTGTTAGAGCTCAGTCCTGCAGACAAGACACAACATTGACCCTTTTGCTGGGAACATTCACCTTCACTTATGCACAGAGACAGTATCTCAGCGCTTTCCCAGTTTTAAGCAAACTGAGCAGGAATCCCACTTTGAAATGGCTTCCTGAATGACTGGGAAGCCCTGAGACACCCTCAGGAACCCAGGTAAGTTTCAGTCAAATAACAAAGGCTGCTACATGGGGACAGAGGTGAGCTGTATGCCCCACAGCATTGAATGTCCTGTGCCACCCACCATGAAGGATCTCTCAGACTCAGATTCCTCCAGCCTGACATTCTGAGAGTAAATGAGCAGGAGTCTCTTTGGCATCATCCAAACCTCTAGAATTTATTGAAAATCAAATGATTATGTAGGTAGAATGGCACCCAGAGAAAAAAATGTTAGAATCCCTAAGCGTATACGGTGAGGGCACAGCGTGTGTCTCTGCGTGTATATGACTGTACAGATGTGGCTAAAACATAAAGAGATTGTGTGTGCGAGCGTCTACAAGCTAGCACAAATGTAATCCAGATGCCAGAGAGGGGAGTGGTAAGGACTGTCAACTCTGGAACCAATTCCTGGTCCAGATTCCAGAGCGGCTGTGGACAATGTAGTAGGATCAGACCAGTGCTCGGCACACTATTTCCTGCCCCACCATCACCTCCCTGGGAGAGCTGTCCTTGTCTGCTCTGTGAAAGTTGGCTTTGGCCATGGGACTTGCTTTGGCAGATAGGATAGGGGCAGCAATGGCAGGGTGCCAGTTCTAAAGCTGAGAATTTAAGAGACGTTGCTTATTTTTGCTCATTCCTCTGATATCATCTGACCCCCTCCAAGAAAGAAGTCTGCCCCAAGTAACCACTGACCCTCCATCCTGGGCCCCAAATAGAACTCATGGAGCAGAGCCACCCTGGTCAACCTGCAGACCTGTCATTGTGTGAAAATAAGGGCTTGTTGCTGTATACCACTGAGATCTTGCTGTTATTTGTTACACAGAAAAAACTGACAGATACAGGCAAGTTGGTTAATCCCCCCGTTTCTTCTCCAGGAAAATGGGGAGAAAACGTAGGGCCTGCTGCAAAGGGCTGTGATGAGAATGGATTAAGCTAATGTACATAAAGCACTTAGAACACTTCCTGGCACACCGTAAGTGCTTAGTAAGTTAGCAGTCGTCGCTGCGTGTAAATGTAGGAGGAATCAGGTACCCGAGCCAGCAAGAGTGGGTGAGTGTGGACTCGGGTGTCCGGGTAAGCAGGTGGGAGGAGCAGAGGGAGAGGGGACGGCAGCAGGTGTGCGGGCATCTGGAGGGAACGCCCCCCTCAGCAGAAGTACTCATTGATCCGCCGGCCCCCCCTGGCGCCCAGGACCTGAGAGTCCGTGCTGGACCGGGCCGAGAGGAGCCTGTCGGCCTCACTGAGGCTGTGCTGGGACAGCTCCTCGGAGCCATCCTCGCTGTGACCCAGCCTCTCCAGGTTGACGTAGGCGCCCGCGGCCTCAGCAGAGCCCCCCGTGGGGCACTTGGCACAGCGCCGCTGCAGAGCCCCGCAGCACACGAGCAGGGTGAGGGGCAGGGAGATGACAACAGCCACACTGATCACCACCACGTTGATGAGCCGCTGGGTGGCCTCGGCGTCTACCACCTCATCCGTGGAGAAAATGACACACTGCTCCTTCTGGGGCACCAGGTCCCGCACACAGACACACGCCACGTACTTGGTCTTGGGCGCAAGCCCACGGATGGTGACGCTGGTCTTCCCAGGCTGCACAACCACCCGCCGCATGCTGCGCTGCCCAAAGACCGCGTAGAGGACACTGAAGGTGGTCGTGTTGCCAGCCTGGGGGGCCTTCCACACCAAGGTCACGCTCTGGTAAGTGTCTCCCACCACCTTGAGAGACCTCACCATTCGGGCCTCCTGGCGTCCTGCCTGCCCACTTGAGCGCCCTCCTGGGGTCCCCATCTGGAAGTGCTGGAGGGTCAGCTCCCCCTTCATGTTGGGCACAGGGGACCTGGTGGCCGGGACAGCAGGTCCGGGGATGTCAGGGACATGCCTGGCCACCATCTTGTTGTACGCAGCAGCTTCTGCCCCCTCACCCCTTGCCCACAGTGTCCCTGGGCTCCCACTCCGTTCCGTGGAAGCCTGAAGTTCAGTGATGGCCAGGGAGATGACAGTCTCAGAGACTCCCAGGAAGTTCTTGGCCTGGCAGATGTAGTCTCCAGAGTCAGGGGGGGACAGAGCAGGCAGGCCCAGCAGCGTCCAGCTCGTGCCGTCGCTGGAGACTTCCTGGTGCACTGCGGGGAAAGAGGCATAAGTGGGAAAATGAATGGGCTCCTCGGCCCCCAGCTTCCTGCCAGGGCCAAGTTCACAGCCCTTGGACTGTGCATACTCCTGCATATGCAGCAGACCTTGTCATCCCGAGAAAACACTGAGAGTCATTCAACTGTTCTTAGACGAGCCAAGGGGATCAAGATCACCGGGGCTCAAAGTGGGGAGACCTAGGCTCAGGCCAAGTGTAAAGATGATCTGCCTTCTAAATCTGAGGTGGTCAAGCAATATTCTTCAGGACCCTGGAGTCCTACAGAACGGACTCCTCGGGGCAGCAGACAGCGCTTGGGGGGTGGGGGGATTAGGTGCATCAGGTGAACATGAGGCAGAGGCCCAGATGGAAGTTCATGACCATCCTGTCCAGACACACTGCCACCTCAATCCCAGCATTTTCAACTCTGTTTTACATAATGGAGATCCTGATCCAGTTTTGTTTGTAAATTGATTTCAAACTCACAGTCTTAGAGCAACACTTGCCAACCTAATTGAAGGAGACGCCCAAGAAAGTAGCGAGAGACATGAGGTTTTCTGGTCAGGCACTAAGAAATGATTGCTCCTCGACCCCCTTTCTGCCCATAGGTGGGCCGTGACTCCTGCAAATTCCACCAACCCGAGCCAGAGATGAACCATCTCTGTCTACACAGCAAAAAGACCACAGGCTCTGTGCTGTAAGCCAAGCATTTAGCCTCTCAAAGTCTGTTTACTTACAAAACAAGAAGAATAATCAGGTTGTTCTTTAAAGTTCAATGACACTGTGCCTAATATACTTAACACGTGAGGAGCTCAAGAGATGGTAACTCATATGGTTAATTACTCCTCATGATACTGGCTTAACAATTACACTTGGACACTTACTCTAAATACTAAATATACTAAGAGTATCTTTCACCAAAATGGCAGCATCTTGTTCCTCCCAGGGTGGGCCCGGATGGAGTGGCTCCTGGAACATGTAGGACGGGTTGAGAGCCACTGTCCCCCGACCTCCCCCGACTCAGCCTGCACGGTCCCTGTAGCTCACACACCTGTGCCATTGAGTGGGTGCCCGTTGGCTCTCCTCCAGCTCATCTCTGGCCCAGGGACGCCGGTGGCCCCACAACGCAGCAATACCGCACTGCCCAGCGGGGACCTGACGCTGGCCACCCCCGGGCGGAGCTCAGGACTCTGGCACTTCCTCAGTTCCAGCTGGCTGAAGGCCACTCCAGCCAGGCTGCGTGGGCTGGCACACTTCAGCCTGGCCTCTATGAAGGCCAGATGTGGGGCCCAGCCTTCCAGGAAAAGGGCTAGGTCATAGAGGCGGCAGTCGCAGGCCCAGGGGTTGTCCTGCAGCCCTGAAGGGGTGGAAAGGGAGGCAAGCAGTGAGCACTCGATATTCAGCTCCCCACGGCCAGCTCCTCTTCCCCCTCAGGGAGGACAAGGCATGTCCTGAGCTCAGAGTCAGCAGAACTGGCCTCCAGGTCCAGCTCCTTGCCTCGCTAGCTGTGGAACATTAGGCTGGTTCTTAATCCTGAATGATAGCAGTACTTCCCTTTCAGAGCTGCTATAAGCATCAATAAAGATAAATCATATTAAGCATTTGGGTCAGCCATGCAGCATGCCGACAAAATTGGCAATTCCTGCAGCCATTCTTGGACTGATCCTTTCAGGCTACTGGTCAGGCAGTGAGTATTTCAGCAGTACCTGCCATATTCCAAAATCCATTTCTCAAAATATTTCATGACCCCTGACCCTTGACCTCTGTCCTCCCAGCTTATGTGGCACTTTCAGCATCACCCCAGCAATGAGGGTGACTGCTCTGGGCCATGGTCCCTTTGATACAAGCTCAAAAGGGGAGGAGTGAGGAGGCCAGGAAATCAAATCCTATGTCATGTCCAGCCCTCTTTACTTTAAAATTGAACTTCTTTATAGAGATGAAAGTAGGTCACTGTACCCGCCCTGCCCAAGAACCTTCTGCAGATAGAGGGGTATCATGTGTCCTGACTTCTAAGACACAATTCCTTTTTATATGTTTCCATTTCTGAAATATGAAATGAATGCATTTAATGTGGTGTCTTTTTATCCTCCAAAGACTGTTATTAAATTCAATAGTATGTCTGAGAATCAGTGGCTTATGATTTATTTACATACACATATTTGATACAGTTGGAAGGGGAAATGTCAAGGGTTGGGGTTGGGGGTTAGATTCATCTGCTTGTACATCCATGACTCTCAGGTCCTTCTGAACACTGGCTGGGAGGATGCCAGCTCCTTTCCCCACCCATCCTCAACCCATCCCTCTGGTAGCTGCTACCCTGTGTCACTGATTAAATGCCTTTAATGATACATCTGCACCCCAAGAATCATCACTGCCCCATTGTGGCAGTGAGCTAGCTGGCTTTCACCTGTTGTAACAGAGTCCCCAAAGAATTAATGCAAACAGCAAAGTTAAATGACAGGGAAAGGTTTACCCCTCAAACTGGCAAAAGTTAAACATTCCAACCCTTTTCATTATTAGCCTCATGAGGGAAGAGATTTTCATCTATTTCTTTTCTGCTCTATCCCCAGCACCTAGAACTAAGACCCCATATTGATAGGCAATATACTTTCAGAGTGAGAACACCTGCATGGGTGGTCTCATGCACTACTGGTAGTGCATGCACAGACTGATATCAAAATGTCTAATGTGCATACTCCATTACCTAGAATTCCCCTTTTCAGTTCCTATTCTAGAGAAACATTTGTCTCCGTGCACAAGGATGCATTTTCAAGAATGTTCTGTGTCATCATAAGTGTTAGTAAAATAATGGAAACAATCTAAAGGTCCATTGAAGGTAGAATGGCTAAATTAACTGTAGTATAACTCTACTATGGAAAATTATGCAGTTTACAAAAAATGAAATTGATCCATTTGTAGTAACTTAGATCTCCAAGACATATTGTTGAGTGAAAAAGTTAGTGCTAGTTGATATATACAATATGCTCTATACAATATGAAATTTTATGTAAAACACAGAAAGAATTTCTATGTGCATATATATATATATATATGCATGTAAATGCATTCTAAAAGATAGGGAACATGCAAATAAACATAACAGTAGCTACCTGTTAGAAGGGGGAGTAGGAATTAGAATCAGAAGAAGGAAAAAAAGAGTCTTTAGCTTTCTCTGTAAAGCATATATATATATATATATATATATATATATTTAAAGGGCACTTAATTAAATTTTATTTTCAAATAACCAATTTTTTCCATGTAAGTAGTATCCTATACACTATCCTTTATCAGGTGAGAAAGTCTGCAGGGTGGATGGAGCTGAAATGGGGCTTGCTGTTCCCTGCCCTGCTTCCTGGCAGTAAGGCCTCTAAATATTCCCTCCTCCTGAGAGTCTCCTGGGCCTTAGGGCAGGAGCTGCCCCAAACCATTCTAAGATTGCTCCAGCCCCTGGTACTGAACCCCCTACGAGCCAAGGCTCCAGACACATCCTGCTAGGAGGTCTCTCTTCTGCTACTATCCATCCACTCCCTACCACCTACCCTCTGCCACCATCCCCTCATAGGACAGAGGAAAGAGAACCAGTCTATCTGACATGAGCCTTAGGCCCAAACCACTACTTACTAACCCTTAGGTTGTGTCTGTTCTGTAAAACAAAGGGCATTGTACTTGTACTATCTACCCTGGGATGTGGCGAGGGTCAAGTTCTATGAGGGGGCAAGAAATTTAGGAAAGCTTCAGGGCCACACTAACGCTAGATGGCCAGTAAGGACTGACCAATTAGCAAAGAGCTAGGACTACCTTCCTGCCATGTAGGCATACTTAGTGCTCCGAGGAGACTCTCAAGGGGATGGGGAGTGTTCACAGGCTTTGAAGATTGTTGGAGGTTGGATTTCCCGGAAGCAGACCCTGAGATGAAGATTAGCATGCAGCATGTTCATTAAGGAGGAGAGGAAGGAAGGAAGGAAGGAAGCAGGAGGGAGACATGGAGCTGAGATGAATGGGGGCCTGGTGAATCCCTGGGGGGCTCCGGAGCTGAAATAGCTCATCTTAGTCATGCCAAGTGGCTGGGCCCTTTGACTCCCACCTGACAGGTCTTGGGATGAAAGTTGTGTCCAGAAAGGGTGGGTGGCCTTGGACAAGGCTACTCTGCAGCGAAGGCTGTCCCTGAAAGCCACTGACAGCACCTGCAAAAGCGGGGCAGCCAGTCCTACCTTGACGGGGACCTGGGTGGCACATCACTGTGCCTGCCACATGTACCTACCGTGAGCTAAGGACTGTCTTTTTACCCATAACTCCAACCTTTTGAGATGGATATTCTTATCATTCTCTCTTTACAGAGGGGAACCAAGGCACAGAGAAGCTAAGCAATTTCCCCAGGGACGCACAGCTAGTAAGAGGCAGCACTGGGATTTGAACTGGCAGCAGCTTGAGCTCCAAAGCGGCCAGTGCGTGCCTCTCACCCAATCTTCACTCGAACCCCCAAGGCAGGCGTGATTTCCATTCTTCAGGTAAGGAACAGAGACTCAGAGAGGCTTAATAATTTGCCTAAGACTCCCCGCCCCC